TCCACTTCCCTGCTGAGTTAGCTTCTTGGATGACACATCAAACTCCAAAACTCGGTTCCTCCACCTCTTTGCAACTCTCTATAGAGGCTCCCATCCAGAGCCTAAACAGCTTGCTTTGCATGCGCGAACAATGAAGACAGATGTGAGAACAATTCTGTATGTGTCTATGTCCTGTTGCAGCAACAGGGCTGCGGGCCTGAGCCAGTGCTCACTCACGAGAAGCACAATTGAATGTGCTGGGTCCAGATCTCACTGAGGAAAACTCTTTAGTACATTATTACTTTCATCTCACTGTCCACTGGAAATAATGGAAATCTTTGCAGCTGACTTAGTTTGTTCATTCTTTCTGTGTACCTTTCCCCTCACTCAGTCCCCAATTACCTGATAAGTTGTAAAGGTCACAGTATTAATTATTTTCAAATGAGTGTGCATATTCTTTTAAGCATCACTTCTTTCTCCAAATCCTTGGGCAAAATGACACGGTCAGCTTCTACTTTTATAACTGCAGTGATTTTAATAAAACAAGCAGACAGAGAAGAAATCAAACTGCTAATCAGGGACTTCTATTCGCATCTAATACATTCCTTCCCTCGCACTCTCCCTCCTCACTTTTGCTCAGAGACACCTTCTGACACCAGAAATAGCACATTGCTAATCACATTTTTTTTTCCAATTGTAATATGCAAAATAGTACTAGATGTGCTAGCCTGAGTTTCAGTCGTCCAGGGAGCCTTGGGTGTACAACCTGAGTGACTGTGTGGAAATAACTCCTGAAATAATGTAATTAGTCTGAGGCCCATTAGGAGCAGTGGAGCAAGGCTACTCTACATCAGCAGAGGTCTCTGATCAGCAGCTCCCAAGTGATTGGTTCTGTAGATCTTTAAGTGATATGGGTTTAATTTGGCTGAAATTTCCCTGTCAGTAGGAATGTGACAAATTCCTGTTTCTCTGAAAGCTAACTTGAAATGATTTGAAAAAGAGTGCAGATTCACTCGATCCCAATATCCATACCCATATCCACTCAAGTGCTCATTATTCATATCTCAACTTCACTGCTGTATCTAGGGGAAAAAAAAAACAATCTTCAGATTTGTAAGATAAGGTTAACCTTAAAAAGCTGCCACACCATTATGTTATCTGGCTAACGATCTCTGGTTCTCAGGACTGTACATCTTCAAGTACAATTATACCATCCAGAAAGTTCTTCAATGTTTGGGTTCCCCTGTTATTCTATGGAATATATAAAATATAAAATCGAAATACCCCTAGTGCCCCCTATGCTTATGTCTGTTTGGTGAATGCTTAATACCTGCTTGAATGTCACGCGTGAAAAAGCAGCTTTCTGTTAGCCCCGTCACAGTGAAATGACAGTAATAGAAGCTGTCATTAAAAATCTGTTTGGGTTGGCTGCACAGGTGGAAGTCTGGAGAAAGCAAATGTGAATTTGACAGGGAGCTGTGATAGGAATAAAACGTAACGAAAGAGATAAAAGAAGATGAAACACAAAATGTATATAAGTATATAACTATAAATGAGTGAGGCACTGAAAGCCTAAGCATGCTGTCCCTGCCCAGATTGCTCCAGCAGCTGGCAGGCAGTGCCAGCACGCCCAGCACGGCAGTCTGCTGCGTGCTGCCTTACGGGGAGCACTGCACCAGCCGCGCACAACAGCACTGCCAAGAGGCAAAAGAACCAGCCGTAGTGAGAAAACAGGTAAATCTGTCTCGTGGGGAAAATACTGTCTCTTTCTCCACTATTTCTTCTGCTCCCCCCCCTCCCCCCACAAAACTTCACTTCAGCCTGAGGCAGCTTAGTGCTTCACAGTTGTGTCAATGAAGCTGGATGTTTGCCTGGCTTGAGGTTATCAGCAGCAATACTCCGCTCAAATAGTATATTCTCCTCCCTCCTGTTGAAGAGAAGAACAAGAATGACAAAAGAGTGCCCTATGCCATCCTGCATGAGAGAGTCCCTTCGACTGGGAAGAAATCCACCATTTTCCACCAGCGTTTATCACCTCAGGGCAGTGCAGAAAGTTAACGGCAAAGACTAAACTGTCTCGCTGGGGCTCCTGGACCATGAAAGTGCCTGGGTACCTGCATGAGAGTTAATGTAAAGGTGTGTTCTGCAGTGTGAGTCTTAAGGCTGACTCAGAGGCGGGCAATTCCATGATATTCCAAAGTGATTTATGACAGATTGAAGCTAACGCCGCAGCTGCAGGCAAGCAATGCTATATTGCAATCTTCGGGGCTTGTTCCAAAGCAGAAAAGTTAGCTTATGCACATGGAATTAAAGAGTAAGCCCTGTGTTCTCAGTGTATCTATTTATAAAATGCACGAGTAAATAGCCTACTGTGACATCTTGCATCCCAAAAGACAGGGCTGTGGAAAATGTAGGCCAGATATTCTATGTTGGGAGGCACCAGCCTCCTGCAACAATTTTAAACTGAGTAGGAAGCCCAGAAAAGCAGAGCACTGCGCAGGAAACAGCTTTTTCTGAGGCGTTAAATTTAAAAAAAGGATTGAGAGCAACCGCAAAGGAATTGACGCAGCCAATGAGGGTGTTACTATTGTTCCTCTTCTGAAAGGACAGTGAACAGATGGATGCTTCACTCTTTCTTGAGTGAAGTTCATTCCTCAGTTTCAGATAAAAATAATTATTTTACTGCTAGCACAGTTGCAAAGCAGATGAGAGCTGGAGATTAATGTGAGGCATTAATTATTATTTTGGTTTTATAACAGTAAAAAGTATTTATGCCAAATCTGACTACACTACTTTTCAGGAGGGATTTTTGTTCTCATTTCTACAACAATAAGGATTTTTCATTGGATATGAAAAATCCAATGCCATACAATGACTACCAGGTGGCAATTAATGATCCCTCAAAGACTGACTCAGCTTTGCCCCTTTATACTTTTTGGTAAAGAGAAATGAGTGGAGCAAGCTCTCACTGTTCCAAAAGAGAAATCTAACACATCAATCTTGCATATCACTGCAGACTAAGCAAGGATGTTTAAGAAACTGTTTCCAGTTCCCTTCCATGGTGCTCCTGAATTTTTGCAGTCTTTTCAGTTCCTGCTGCTAAGAAACTGTCTGCCTTGTCTCAAAACCATCCTCATAGAATTTTTCTCTTATACAGAGATCATCCCACACTGTTCTTCTCTTACAAGAGATGATAAACTGGATCAAAAGTCACCCTCAAATTGAGAAATAAGTTAAGCAATCAAAAGTATTTCCTTTATAGCTGAAAGAGCTAGATATTGCAAAGAAAGAGCGATTTTCAGTTTGCTGCACACCTGTGATGTGCAGGCATCCTGGTTTTACTCTTGCTAATCAAGTTCTCTCCAACAGTGAACCTTGGCTGTTTGCCTCAGCACACTCACAGCAGCATGACCGTTTGTAGGCCTTTGATGCTACAGAAGACACAGTTCTCACTAACTGCATGGAGAACTTTGAATATCTTTATAAAAAGAGCCTTAGCTGTGTGTATATCTGCGGATGCCAAGTTGTCACCACCTATAATTGTGCCTGTGATTCTGTTCTTGAGATGTCTGAAGACATCCAAGATTCTGTACTGAGTTCATGTATTTTAGGATCCATACCTCTCCTCAGGCTTCCGTAGTCTTGCTATCTGGGTTGTGTTGCATGTGTGAAGATAATGTCAAAATGTACCTATCTTCTCTGTTATAGCCTGCTCTAGAGATGACAGCATGGTCAGATGATCTCATGGAAGTTAAAGACCTCATCAGTCAAAATTCTTGGAGCATAAAGTGCTGCAGAGGCTGCTGTTTAGGAGTTTCCATAAGAACTGTAAAACATAAGAGAAGTTATTCTTTTGCTTCCGTATTAGCACTTTTCAGCTGGAGCTATCTTTTTCAACATTAGCACAGACTAGATTTTGGAAGTGAGATCCTGCCCTTGGCGTGAAGGTAATAGTATTTTTTTCTTCCAGGTTTCACGGCTTGCCTAGGATTTTTCCCTGAGGCTCCATGAGTAGATCCGTTCCTTGTTTAAGAACTTTAGATTAGATGAACAAGACCAAGAGTGATCTCAGGCTGTGGTGAAGTTGGAATAGATTTGGTGGCTACATTCCACTTTTCCCTTGCTGCTGTTGATAAATACTAATGGTAAGCTCCAGCATACACTGAACAAGAAATGATAAAAGGGTTTTCTTTGCTTTATAATAGTATGCTGCATGTAACAACGACAGAAAATTGAGACTGTCCCAACCCTTAAAGTAATCAAAAAAGATGTTTTCATAAACTATGCTGCATTTTACAAATGTCTTTACTGAAAAGCACTTTTAAAACCTCCAGATCTACCATTCATCAAACTTTTAGCGTTAGAGCTGTCAGCAAAGAAATATCAAGAAGCTCACTTTTCTGTACTGAAAATTCCATTTACTGGAATTAGATACCTAAACTGGATCTAGCCATTTTAAAAAATTTAGAATTAGCCTTGACCCTCATGAGCCCGAATCCATTCTTCTACTCTGGCATGTAGCTGAATTGGAAATTTAGCAGAGAGGATGTAGGAGTCCCTAAAAATTGTAATTGCTATGACCATTTGTTTTCAGGGCAATCTGTCAAGAAAATAAAAAGTAACTGCAACTAGTCTTGTCCTTTATATTGTTTTCAGGGTCACAAAATACTTTTCTCCTCTTGTCCCTTTTTTTGCCTCCCTCCAGACAAAAATGTTTGAGTACTTGTCTTGTAAAGAGAAGCCAATACTTTCAGCAACTTTGCAGCTTAATTAACATCCAGTGTGCCCTTAAAAGAACACAAGCAATTTCAGTTAGCAAACTTATACCTGTTCTTCCTATCTAGCAATATATTATGTTGACCACAAACACTCCCACCCCAAGACTCCAGTGGTATCCTTTGGGCAGACCCTCAATGCCCTTCTCCCAGAGACACATCCACAGGACAGGCAGCCACAGTGGTCAGGTCAAGAAAGCATGACAGACGATAAGGAAAATATGTTTAAAAAATAGCATGCCTTACCTGCTTATTCATAAGTATGTAGATAATGGGATTGCAAACGGTGCTGCTTTTTGCCAGGATGGAAGGTATCGTGCTTGCAACTGGAGTCACTACACCTGGCTTACCAAATGTTGCAAGCAGTGCTATAACTCCATAGGGAATCCAGCATATGAGGTAACAGATGACTGTAGTGATCACCATGAACAGTACATGATATTCTCTTTTGCGGGCAGCATTCTTGTGGATTTTTCCAACCTAATGAAAGATGAACCAAATATAGGATTTAAGGAGCTGAGCTATTGTTTTTATTGCTTTAACAAGCTGAGACTCTTGGTCTGAGATTGTGTGAGTTAACAACGTTACACAGTAGTTGATAAGTATACATGAAGGCAGAATAATATGGTGATGCTCTTTGTTTTTCATTAGTTAGGATTCTAGTCTTCTGGGGAGCAGGGGGATTATGCCTGGAATTTCAGTACAAATGTTCCTGTGGAAAGTAAATAAAACAGACACATACTTACTCTTCCAAAAATTAAAAAGTATTTTTCCTGTGTTGTCTTCTAATTGCCTTCTACAAAATGTCAATGACAAATTAAAATCTGGCCTTCCTGAAGACACTTGGGACTATTCTTTTCTTTGCGAGAACAAAACTTGTTTATCTCACAATTGCTTTATCTTGAGAAAATTATTAATAATAGATAAATACTCCAATCCTGTACGGCTTATTTGAACTAAATATTTCCTGACTAATGCAAATTTTGTCCAATTAAAAAGTGCAAGATCAGCTCCTAGGTTAGCTGCAGCTATATTACAAGCTTAATATTAACCCAGGAATGTAATGCCCAGCTAGCCATGGCCTACACAGCTAAAGGTCATCAATGACGGCAGAGGCATCAGTCAGCACGTTTTTTTCTCTCTGTTTAAATAACACATCTGTCCTGAATACTTTATTTATGCATAAATAAAATACAGAATAGTAAAGTAAGAAAAGATGTGTAAAAATGAAGCGATTGTGCTGGGATTTTGGTATGCATCCTTTCTATTTTCTTCAGGTTTTTTTTCTTAGGAAGACAAGGGAGGCTTGCACTGTCACCGTGTCTGCGCTAATACGAATGGGTGTCTGCCTGAAATTTGACTGAGTTTCTCCAAAAGCTTTGAAACTTATCAGATGGACAGATGTCTTTGGTACTGAGTTCTTCACATGTGACTAGAGAAGAAAGATCCTTAATAATGTTCTCATCAAGGAGAAAAATTCAATGTAAGATGAACTCAAATTAGACACCAAAGAATTCCCTCTAGTAAAGTGTCGGTTTGGTTTGGTTTGGCTTTTTTCTCTTCCATCTTGTTTCTCTGATAATTAATAAGAAGCAACCTCTGATCACAGCTGCTCCTGAAATAGGACATTTATAAAGTCTCCCTGATATCTATTAAGGGTGACCTTCCATTGCAGTCTTCTATAATTGAGTTTAAAAAATCATTTGTCATGAGACAAACCTATTGGAAAGCAAATTTAGTTAGCTGTCATGCTCACAGAGTCTTTTGCTTCCACGTTTATACCGGCATACACAATTGTTTTGATTTTTATGTGCCTCATATTATAATATGATTTACTTACAGTCCTGGGAACGAGCAAGTTAGAACTTTGGAGTTTTTTTAAGTCCTTTTTTTTTTTTTTTCCCCAGAAGCACATTTCTCTTCCTACTGTTTCAGAGAAGAGATTAAAAGTATAGAGTGGCAGGGCAAAAAGCAAGCAATGGACTAGAAAAAGTGAGGAAGGTTCATAACATACGGTCTTCTCTAATGACTCTAAAACCCTGGTGACCTGGGTGCCCCGGTTCCTCAACTCACCTGCTTCCTCATTATCAGTATTCTCCCTTTTCTTGGTGTTCTGGCTGCCAGTCTCCTCTAGCTTTCTCTCCCCTTGGCCTCATGTTTACTCCTCAGACTCAAGGTTCAGTGCTCTTTCCTTAGCATCAATCCAGCTGATCAGCTGTCTGTTCAAAGACAGGCTGTCAGTTTGTCCTCCAGCTCAGAGCTAGCTTGGGAAAGTATCTTACTGTGACAATGAGTTACCAGGCATAGACCCTAATTAGCACAAAGAGCAGAAGCAGTGGAGTTCATTATAAACAGAACAGGACAACACAGAGTCCTTGAGAAGCTGCAGTGAACTGTGAAGTAAAAGCAACCAGAGCACTGAAACTGGGGTGATGGAAAAAGGTTCAACAGTAAGGTAGGAGCTCTAGCTGAGACCCGAGGAGCCACAACTGACCATAAGATGAGATTTGAGCATGGAAGGAAAAGTAGTAGTAAACTGCAGACTCAGCACTACTGTTTTAATTAGACATGCCCCAATATGAAGAAGGCATGCTGGTGGTTCATTTGGCTTGAAGAACAGGACATGTGCTGTTCTGGAGTTGTGCTTGTGACCGTTGCTGTCCACTAGAGGCACTGGAAAGCGGTGAGGGAAGAGTCATATTGCTTGGTGGTTCCGAGCATACCACTGGACTGATCACTGCTGTGAGACTGTCCGTCCCTAGCCTTGTGTCATGTCTTGGGAAACAGGGCTGAACAATGTCATCTTGTTTACTAGATGTGTAAGCTAGTGTTTACTAGTGTTTGTTTCAGCCCAAACACTACTGTTGCGATGGTAGTAAAGGGAAGCAGCAGAGTCTCAGAGTGGCTGTAATATCACCGTGATGCGGTCTGGGATACCCTAACAAAGCAAGAAATGCCAGAAGATTTCAAGAAGTGTTAGACTATTCAGTAAGAAGTGCTCGAAGAGTCCTGTTTTTGAAGGCATGTACTATATTTTTCTGCACAGTTTTGGTACCGTTGTCTTTGCAGCCTTGCAGCCCACCTTTAAAACATGCTATCTTTAAAAATTCTCTGCTAGAATGCCTCAAGCAAAATGTAGTTCAAGTTGACCTAACCTCCAGAAAAAATCACAGTTTTTCAAGTGAAAAAGCAGTAGGCAATTTCATGTTAAAATGATTCTATTTCTTATTTTAAAACTTTTGGGCAATTTAATGTAATTGCTACACACTATTTTCCGTAACCAAATGGGAGTGCCTCCTAAAATACATTTAGCATCTGGACAACAAGGTGGTAGAAGAGCATCAGATGATGATTAAAAAAAAGTCAATTCAAATAATGCTCTAGAATAAGTCAGTTTGTTAAGTTAAATCTAATTCTGAAGATATAAACTGTATGTGCATATAATATATTTTTAAAATGTATAAAAGATCTAAACCACATCATTACAATGACACAAGAAATACTGGATTGTTGGGACCAAGAGATGTTTATTTAGAATGGCTGGAAAACATGTGCCTTTGCTATAAACTCAACATTTTTCTCTGGGACAAAGGCCATCTCCTGCCAAATCCAGGAGCCCTGTTCTGTCGTAGGAAGGGCACTACAGTTAAGGAAAAAAATGTTTTTTTGTTTTTTGAGATTCTTTTTTAATGAGTAAGTGGTGTGTCTCTCCTAGTCTCATTTTGGGAAGTAGCAGAAGTGCTTTGGCTGAAACTTCAGAAATCAGCCTGAGGTAGCCACAGACAAGCTTGCCTTATCTGAGGCACTGAGTGTAAGACTGGCACAATTAACTCTCGTCTTGTTTTGCCCTGTAGCCAAGCTACATCTCATATATATACATAGTGATCCTTTTCCCCCTCCTTTTCCACTCCATCTGACATGCGAGACACCACTAGTTAGATGACTATGGCAATCTGCTGAGCAGTTGCATTAGATTTGACAGAGCGTGGGAGAAGCCATGGGGGTTTTCAGGGAGGTGGATGGCAGCGGCAGAAATGTGCTTAAAGGGGTCTGAGTGACACATTGCTTGGTTGATGTCAAAAGCTGCATGCTCTCCCCTCCAAGCTGCCAAGGTGTACCAGATATATCTCTCACCATGGGACAGGGTAATATGTCATGCATCGGAAAAGAAGAAACTGGAGAGCTCCATGCAGAGTACAGAAAATTTCAACACCACTGGTCAAAGCATGAAATAAACCACTGAAAAGGGGAACTTAAGAGTAGGAAATGGAAGCACTTAGTAACAAGGGATGCTGACAGCTTTTGCTGTAGCTGTGGGGCTTCTGTTAGGTTGGAGCTTCTAATAAGAACCCCAAATGTCTGCTATGGCAGGTACTTTGCCAGGAACCTCAGCCAGGGCATAGGCAAATTTATGGGGCTCTCATAACAGGGATCTGGGGAAAAAGATCTACTTAGAGGAACCTCAGCTGACCTTGTAGAAAGGATAAGTCTGTCCTTTTCCTTGCAGAAGGCCAACTAGCACCTTCCAAACACATTAACCCTGTTGAACAATAGCATGGGAGCGAATAACATGGCTATGGGCTATACAAAATGATTTCAGGGTAGCAGATTTATGCACGTGGTAGCTCTGAAGGGTCCAGATCTCACCACTGCCAAGTCAGTCGGTCCTGTAAGCATCTGCCGGAGGGGGCAGCCAGACTGCACCCACAGGTGAGCCAATGGACTTTTTCAAGCTAAAGACTGGAGTGTTCCTATTTTGGAGACAGAAGGCCCGAACAAAACAGGACAGCAGCCTCAGGTGAGAGTATATTGCTTTTAGTACTTTTTTTCTTAGCTACCACTTGGCTCCACATGGGAGAAGAGCCCTAAATGGTACCCTGCCCAAGGGGACAGCCTACCCCCTCCTGTGCTCCAGAGACCAAAAATTTGACCTATTCCAACCCCTGCTCAGCTCACTCCAGTTAGCTGGACATGACCTGTGAGACCTGGGGAGTACACTTCAGTTGCTTTGTCAGGAGAGAGCTCTAGTACCAGGAAAGATCTGACTGATGGGTGTACAGAGAGTGTGGGTGTACATGCTGCGTGTTGCATGCAACTGAGAGGCCTACGAAGCCAGGCACATACATCTGAGTCAGCCTTGTATGGCACTAGCACTTCGTGCATGCTCCCGTCACCCACAGGCAATTTTTTTTAAATATATATATTTATAAGACAACAGAGTTTGGCTGAAGTTCGCTATAAAGAAGAGAAACTTTTAATGATGGAGATTTAACCTGACTGCTTTTATGGATTCCCACTATTCTTTTTGCCCAGTCCCACCAGTCTTTTTGCCCACCATTTACCCTAGTCTCCACCCCTTACTTAATGTAGCAAGCTCCTTTCTGTAACAAAGCATTTCCTTTCCAATTGTGAACATCTTTAAAGGGTTTGAAGCATATATGGCATCCCATCCATGGCAACCACCTGGATGGAGAGACTAT